AAGCATGTCAAATCCATGTATCAAATGAAGCCACTGCTTCCAAAATGATATTTTTGGCTCATTTTCTGTCACCATAAACTCTTTGCCACGCACTTGGACAGTTTTTCCAAGTCCAGTGTATGCAGTCGATGATTCCAATCATGCCAGGGAAGCCTCACATCTCACCCTTCCTCAGAAGCCTTCGCATGTCCCTTGGCCTGGGTGTCCGGAGGTACTCATTGGTGTACATGGCTTCAATTGTAGAGCAAAACCGCATCAGAGACTCCAGAACAGTTGTTTTTCCCATCCTCACGATCTCATCCATTTGATTTGCAAATGCTCCATATGCAAGCATTCGCAAGGCAGCCGTAATTTTTTGCTTTGGAAGAAGACCTAGAACACGAAAAGCATCATCTTTTTGCACAAAATATGGATCATGGTTGCAAATAGCACTCATGATTATGTTGAACAAACTTCGTTGCATTCTAAAACGACGTCTAAAAACATGACCTGGGAATACGCTGTTGGGAATAAAATAATCTTCCAAGAGATCTTTACCTCGTCTTTCCTTTTTTCTATCGAAGTTTGCGGCACGTCTAAGTTTGGCTATCTAACCTATAGCTTCCATGACACGGCGGGAATGTGAGGCCCTCTGCCTTCTATGGTCATCATCCGAGTCCTCCTCCATTGCGAAAGCCTCATCTCCACCTCCACCTTCCTCGAGATTGATCAATTCTTCTTGTTGTGCCAACAGTCTTTTCTGTTGCTCCACAAATTGTTTATGCACTCTCCTTGAAGAAGACATTGTAAAAAAAATTCAAGATTTGAAAACGATGAAGATGGATGTAGGGATGTATGGTATATATGGACAAAAATAAAAAAAATTAAGGATGAGCTTTTTGGTATTTTTTTTTCACACAAAAAGTATATGAAAGCTTTGGTAGAAAGTGTAGAAAATATTGAAATGTGGTGTAAGGTGGAAGATGAGGGTTAGGTATTTATAGAAAAAGAAAAAAACTTTTTTAAAAATTTTCTATATATTTTTTTTAAATTTTATGTATTTTTTTTATAATTTTTCATAATTTTTAATAATTTTTAATATAGTTAATTAATCTGGACTGTTGGATTTGAAAAATATTCAAATCCAAGAGCCAAGGCGTTGCCACGTGGCCAACGATCATAATTCTGACCGTTGGGCCTTTTTCTATTTTTTTTATTTTTTGTGAAAAAAACATGGATCGTTGATCTATGATCGGACGATTCATTTTAAAAATCAAATTTAATTTTTTTTTACCGTTGGAAATCCAACAGTCTACAAAAACTAGCCGTTGGAAATCCAATGGCACTGAGGAGGGCCACATAGCTCTAATCCGGGTGAACACAAGTGGGCTGACCAGCGGGCCCCGCCGCCTTCACCCTTGTCTCCTACTCACGCCCAGTTACGAGTGTGCTGCAGTGCCAGCCAAATAGGCCGGCCTCTGGGGCTGGTCTGTTGCCTGGCTTGGGCTGGGTGCCAGGCTGTTTTGTGGGCTGGAGCAGATTGACAGGGTGCTGGGCAAATTTTTGGACAGGGTGCTGGGCAATTTTGTGTCCGGTGGAACTACTCTAAGAGGTCCTAAATCTAAGGAGAGAGAGCCACATAGTACTACGGTCCAGTGATATTCATTGTCACTTATAATTGAGAGGTCTTAAGTTCAATTTTCATCAAAGGTGAATTTGAACGATATTATTGCAAGCCCATTGTAAGACTTAGCCTACTCCCTCAAATTTTTAGTGTAAATAATATCGTTTGTTAAAAAAAAAATCTAAGGAGAGAGATGAACTCTTGAGGCTCCTAGAATTAATCAATGATGATTAATGTTATATTATTTTTTATTTGCAAATAAAACACATGAAAATTATTGAGATTGAATTAAAGAAGAATTGACATTTTTTGTTGTTGTTAAAGGATAGATTTTATTAGATTCTAATATAAATTCAGGCTATACAATCTTATTTATGATCGTCACCAACTTTTGAGACGTAAGTTGTTACTCCATGCACTGCACGATTGTCCACCCTGTGAGTAAAACCAAACACAACAGACTCAATAGAAATAGCAAGGGACCAGATATCATGAATAAGCCCTTTCATTGCCACTTCAACTTCGATTTCTCGGTTAATCAATCGTAACACATTGGGCATTTGATTCAACCATAATTTGCATAAACCCATCATCATAAACACTCCGCAGAGCCTCGCTAATGCAAGCTGCCTCTGCCATCATCACGTTGGAAGCTTGGAGGTTAGACGTGCCGCCCGAAGTTTGGAGCAGCCCCGCAAAGTCCCGTACAACTCAGCCTCCCGCTCATTTCCCCTTCTTTCCTCTCCGTGCCGCATCGTAATTCACTTTGACTTTCCCGAATTCAGGTTTCCTCCGTGGAGTAGGATTATTTTCCTTCCTATTTTCATCTCCTTTCGTCCATTTCTCTCACATATTGGTTTTTTATCTTCTTTTGGCTGTTGAAAATTTAACACAAATGTTGAACTGACTTAACGTTAACCATTCAAATAGGAAGGAAGGAAAAAGAGACTAGGAGAGGAAATAATCATACTCCTATCTCCACTTTAGCTGCCTATCTCGTTGTGTCACAACCATATTGACCATAACTTCCCGAATTAAGATATTTATTACTTCTTAAACTAGAGAGTATATGTCACATCCCGGTCCGGGCCCCCACCACATCCCGGGCTCGACTCCGTCGTAGCACGATATTGTCCGCTTTGGACCCCGACCACGCCCTCACAGTTTTGTTTTTGGGAACTCACGCGAGAACAACTTCCCAATGAGTCACCCATCCTGAGAATGCTCTCGCACAAACTCGCTTCACTTTGGAATTCCGACGAAACCCGAAGCCAGTAAGCTCCCAAAAGGCCTCGTACTAGGTAGAGATGAGAATATACATATAAGGTTTACAGGATCCACTCCCCTGGGCAATGTGGGTTGTTACAGTCCACCTCCTTAGGGGTCCGACATCCTCGTCGGCATACTTCCGGCCAATGATTGGCTCTGATATCAAATTATCACATCCCGGCCTGGGCCCCTACCACATCATGGGTTCGACTCTGCTGTAGCACGATATTGTCCACTTTGGGCCCCAACTACGCCCTCACGGTTTTGTTTTTGGGAACTCACGCAAGAACAACTTCCCAGTGGGTCACCCATCCTAGGAATGCTCTTGCACAAACTTGCTTAACTTTAGAGTTCCGACAGAACCCGAAGCCAGTAAGCTCCCAAAAAGGCCTCGTGCTAGGTAGAGATGAGAATATACATATAAGGCTTACAGAATCCACTCCCTTGGACGATGTGAGATGTTACAGTATAAGTGGAGTTGAATTTTTTTAGAAAGCTGCTCAAATAAAATTTTAGCCGTTTTAGCTAAAATTTAAATAAAAGATAGAGAGAGTGATTGAAAATACTCTTAATCTTGCTTATCTTTTTAATTGTAAGGGAGAAGCCTAATTCTATAATTTCACACATGCATTGAATAATTGTACACATTCTCTCACCTGAAAACCCTTTTGAAATAATAATATTTATCAATTTCTATGTTTTATTTGTTCATATTTAAAGCTACTGATACTAAAATAGCAATTTCAAGATAAGATCAACTTTTATGTTACCACCAACTGGTTGTTTTTTGTGACACAGAATCTTTAGAGTTACCTTATATGGTAAGATTCTTATGGAAATTATTGGGAGTTTGGGGCAACCACTTTGCCACTTCAATCGATTGGCAAGCACTTCATGCATAAACATTGTCCACCTAACTTTCTAATAATGGTTTTTTTTTTCCCCAATTAATTCGACATTCAAATATTTAATAATAACATTTTAAAACTTGAGGAGTGCATGAAACTTGTGAAGTTATAGAGGTTGGATGTGGGTATTGTGTGAGTTGGTCAGGTTGGACTTCAAAGTAGCGTTGGTGAATTCAATAAGCTTGGATTAGAATTATTCAAACTAATTGTCACTCAAGAAAATAAGCAAACCAACCTAAACTATTCTTAAGCGGATTAGGTTGGGTGAATTTCTTTCATATTCCTAATTTGAGTATAATTAATAAATAATTGATACTTACGTAAAATTAGACCTAAATTATGTGAATCTAGTATTATAGAATCATTACATGTTACTAAATATATAAATTTCACTATTCAAATTAAGTATTAATAAACAAGTGCATTCAAAAGTTAATAAATCTGATATATATAAGAATCTAATATAATGTAAGTTCAAAAATTATATCATCCGGATGGGTCGATTTAATCGAAATTTTTTAGTAAATTTTTAATGTTTAGAACAAAACCCAATCCATATAGATTGGGTTGGTTGATAGACCCTTTAATAGAGGCACCTCTTGGTATGAGATGTTTTATTTAAAATTAGGGAAAGTTTGAAGATATCATGCCGTTTTTGCCCCTTTGCCTCTAAAAGGAACAGAGGGTGGATGGACGATAAAACGTTGTCGTCGGCAGCACAAGAGTCGAATGGGTTGGACATTGACACGATGCCGTTTTAAAAAAGGACTTTAACAAAAAACTTCAGGTACTATTTACTTTAATGAAAAATTACATTTTTACATTAAAAAATCAATCATATTACTGTTTACTTTATCTTTTATTTTATATTTACCGTTAAAATTTAAAATTTTAAAACAATTTTTATTAGCTTTCTTTTTTAAAAATGAATATTAAGAAGGCCCAAAAAAAGATGGGAATAAAACCCAACAACCCGAGCCCCATGTCAACATGAAAAATTGTCAGCGCCCACACGTCACCCGGTGGGACCCGACTGATAAAAAAGGAAGAAATTTGAAAATATAGAGAAATAAAAAGGAAAAGAATGAGAAGAAAAAGAGTCAGAATCACACGGACCCACCCCCCCCCCCCCCCCAAAAAAAAAATTGAAGAAACAAAAACCGAAAAACTGGAAGAATCAACTCCTACTTTCTTCCACCAGCATATATATATATTTTCAAACCCCCGCATCCCCTCTCTATCTCTCTCTCATCCGCCACCCTCCTTTCTCTCTCTAAAAACCTTCTCTCTTTCTAGGACTCTGGGTTTGTACTTTCAGAGATGTTGGTCAAGGACGAGTGGACGAGAGCGGCGATGACCGACGACGTGCTTGTCGTCGAGCTACTGCTGCGGCTCAAGCAGGCGCAGGCGGCGGGGCCTTCGTCTCCGATGTCGCAGTCTCTTTTGACGCTCAGGTGGGGTGTGAGGATGCTACGCTCCAAAGCGGCGTCGTCCGGTTCCAGATTCGATGGCGGCGTCTCGCATCAGAGGAGAAGCGGCAAGAACGGCGCCGATTCCACCACTAGATGCAGCCCAACGACGCCTCTCTCATGGAGCGGCGGCACCGGCTCTCCATCCGCCACCGCCGACGGCTTCGAAGAGTCTAGCTGCCCCAGATCCAAGGTCCCTCTCTCTTTCTCTCACTTTCTCTCTCTGTGCTCTTCGATTTGTTTGCTTTTGATTTCCCGCTAGCTGATCTCTGCTCGCAGTGTGTGAGGCCACGTTCAAGTCTGTTTATTAATTGACCGAAATACCCACGGCGACCGGCGGCGGTTCGTATTTACGAATAGCTCTGCTGAGCAGCGCCGTTAGCGGAGAGCCTGAGTTTCGTTATGGTTGCTGAGGCTTTTCGCCTGGCCGTGGGACGACACATGTCGTGCCTACTTTTCACTTTACCAATTTTGTCCCTCTTCCTTTTATTTATTTACCTTGTTCGCCAATTTTTCCTGTTTTTATATTCTCGATTTCGAAACCGACGTTTCCGTTTTCCTCTATCGCGTTTCGGTTGTCGTCTCCCGAGCCGCTAACGCTGACGAGGTCAAATTCGTCATTGCGGTTTCTTTATTAGATTCTTCTTTTCAGTGGTTAGCTCGCCGATCACCGAGGGTCAACCGTCGGTGGCCGCCATGGACGGTGTAGCTTTTGTGTCCTCTTTCCCAAAATGCCCCGGTCCTACCCCGGTGTATTTTCATATTTTGCTCACGTGAAGTAGCAGATCGAAACCTCCTGACGTTTTCGTCTCGCTTCTTTCGCCGGTCACCTGTCCACTCTTGTATTTAGATTCACCAAACTACCCTCCCAAAAACCGGTCCTTGATAATGCTAACCAAGGACATTTCCGTCAATTCCTACTTACCGCAGTGTGAAATCCCCGAACGTTCCTTTGCACGGCAATCTTTTCTCGTCTGAATCCTTTTTGCTCGAGACAAAAGTCGCATCTCGCGTCGAGTCAAAAGTAGGAATAGTGAGGGGCGTTGGGAGGGGTATTTCGGTCAACTCGAAAAATGGGGGTTGGGTGTGGTGGTGAGGGGGGCCATCTTAAAGCATGTGGGGTCCGGTGAGTTTTTGTTTAGGGATTGGTACGCGTTTCGGTTTGCTGTGGCGTTGTTAGCGGGGGTTGCTGGTGTAATCATCCAGTGTGGCGCGGGTGCAGGGTCCAGCTGGACCATTATCTTTTTATTTTCGTAATAAACGATATTATCTTTACTAAGGAAGAGCAGATGAGGTTAGTCACATAACGAACTAGTAATAATGCAGTTCAAATTCGTTATTGACGAAAATTGAATCTAACTCGGTTGGTTTCGGTCATTGATTGGGGAATTGTACCTTTGGGTTTTCCGAATCTTACGGTCTTAGGGTTGTTTGGCGAGAAAAGCGGACTTTTTATTAAAAATATCTTCATTAATTTTTAATTATTTTAATGAGGGGAATTTGGGTAAATAGATTGGAGTTGTTAGGGAGGCAATGAGGCAGTATTTGTAAGGACTGTGAGATTGGATAGGATCATAGGAGGTGGGCCATGGCGAAGGAAAGTCATGTGAGGAATATAATAAGGAGCTTGTCATATGTGGCCACGTGGATTTTTGATGATGTGAAATTCCAGGGGCTTTGGTTTACTCATTATTGGGAATTGGGGAAGCTTTATCCACTAGGATGGTAGATAGCTGGTAAATTGCAGGCTTGGTAGCGGATACAATTGTGAGATATTCTGATTTGGGCAGCTCTCGCATTGCGGGAGATCAGTATGAAATTGGGCGATACTAAATTTTGAAAATTTAGATTCCTTTATGTTACGTAAAAAAAGGAGTGTTTTGTAATCGGAATTCAATTTTGTATTTGGTTTCCGATTATGGTACCTAAACGTGCCATTAATGTTTTTGTATGGTCGGTCATCCTACTTGAAGTTTTAAATTGATTATATGACATTCTGTGTGTTTTATGTATGCCATATTTTTTATTATTTTTTGTTTTGATGGGATTATATGCTGATGTGTGTGTTTTTGCATCGAAATTTCAGGGCAATGCTACATATGAATCCACCAGCACCACCACTGGCACCAAGAGGGCAAGGAGAAAGAAGGTAAACGCTAAACCCCAAATTTTGTTTTGTCCACCTACATTATTCAAAGGAATATAATTGTATGGATTTAATAATTATTGGGCCGTTTTTTAATATAGCGATATATTTGCAATAAATAAAATAAAATGGTATCGAACTAGTAATTGGCGTAATGGAACTTTGTTTTTTGACATGGACGTGGTTGTAATTTTGCAGACATATGCTGAGCTAAAAGAGGAGGAAAGTTCGTTGTTGAAGGAAAGGACATATCTGGAAAAGGAAATAGCGACCTTACAAACAGCTTTCAAGGAGCAAAGAGCCAAAAATGACAACTTTAAGAGAATCAAGGTGAGACACAGATTCTACTCTTCCTTCCTTGATCCCTTTACTGGACCAAATTATAATTGTACAGATTTTCGCTCAACTTTCGATCCTCTTTTGTCGTTGCAGATTGATCTGAACTTGCATTCCGCAAGGAATTTGAGTGCAAACTTTGACGGAGCAGGGAAATCGATTTCCAGCCAACCCCATGAGAGAATAGCTTCTTCTAGTTCCACTGCCTGCTACATTCCTTCGGTTTTGCCTCCACGTCCACACCCGCGATTTGATTCTTGCGTTGAAAGCAATCCGGTGCTGGCCCGGGATAATTCCTTCCTGCTGCCTGATTTAAACATGGTTCCATCAGGCGAGGAATCGGGTTCCGAAATGCTACCCGGGATGAGCTGAGGAAAATAAGATGATTTCCCAGTTGCCAGTCTAACATAGCTCAAGCCACAGGAGCTCACGTCAGTCGGTACTACTACTACTACAAGTACAAAGTCAAGAGTATTTGATGAAGTTACGGATTTAACCTGATATGAATCCCCATTACAGTCGATTGGGGGTTTAATTAGTAAAATTGCCAATATGGCATAGGTTCCTGCTTTTAAGGGTGAACCCTCATTACTTCTCTCAATCTCGTGTTGAAATTATATTAGATCCACAAGAGTTGTACCATTCTTTGTAGCCCAAAACGTCGTCGTATTCTAGTTTCAGTCCCACAATACGTGTTGAATTGTCAACGACGCATGTATTTTTTTATTTAGATTTTTTTAATGACAAATGGTTTTAAAAATTCATGCGACTCATCATTTTAGTCTGTTAATATGAAAATCGATCAATGTAGTTTTGAAATTTATCATTGCACATCAATTTGGTCTTTATCATCCATTCGTTAAATTTTTTGTTAGTTTGATGACGTGACACATGTGAATCCATTCATTCAATTGTATTATGCCAGGTGAATTGAATTAAATTTTATTTGAATTGATTTAAGATTTAAAAAGACATTTAATAAAATTGAACTTTAAAAGAAAAAGTAAAATAAATAAACATAAAAAAAAAGAAGGTAAATCTATGTTTACAACCCTCAAGTTTCGTGGTTTTTAATATTTAGTACATGAAGTTTTTTTCGTCCCAGAGTCATACCTAAAGTGTAAATTTTGGAACAGTCTCATACATCCGTTAGTCAAACTGTTAATTCTCCCGTTAAGTGATGATGTGACGCTTATGTGGACAATGACTGGGCGCCACATGTCATTAAGGGGTCCACGTGGATTTTTTAAAATTATTTTTTCTTTCTTCTTCTTCTTCTTTTTCTTTCTAGGCTTTCACCCATCCCGACCCCCTCCCTCCTTCTCCCTCCCTTCTCTTCCCTGCGCCCATCCTCCCCTCACACCCACCCATTCCCCTCCCTCATTCTCCCTCCCTTTTCTTCTGTTCTTCTTCTTCTTCAAATTTATAAAAAATAAAAAAAAATAAAAAGTTATGGGCTTTCACCCATCCCGACCCTTCTTTTTATTCTTCTTCTTTCTTCTCTTCAGAGGGCTTCACGTGGGTTTTTTTTTTCTTTTGTTCTTCTGTTCTTCTTCAAATTAAAAAAAACAAAAAAAAGTTCTAGGCTTTCACCCATCCCAACCCCTTCCCTCATTCTCCCTCACTTCTCTTCCTTGCGCCCATCCTCCCCTCACACCCACCCATTCCCGTCCCTCATTCTCCCTCCCTTTTCTTCTGTTCTTATATTCTTCTTCTTCAAATTTAAAAAAAAAAAAAAAAAGTTCTGGGATTTCACCCATCCCGACCCTTCTTCTTCTTCCTTCTCTTCAGAGGGCCTCATGTGGGTTTTTTTTTTCTTCTGTTCTTCTGTTCTTCTTTTTCTTCTTCAATTTTTTTTAAAAAAAATAAAAAATAAAAAAGTTCTAGGCTTTCACCCATCCCGACCCCCTCCCTCCTTCTCCCTCCATTTGCTTCCTTGCACACCCACCCATTCCTCTCCTTATCCCGCCCTTCCCATCATCGCCGTCCGAAGTTTCCTCCGCTGCGACAGAGCATGAATCGAAGCTTGTTTTTCGAAAGTTTATGTGCTTCTGCTACTTGACTGTTTCCTGGAGAAAATAGGCTCAAACAAGAGCTTGCCCCAGATAGGGTTTTCTGATCCGGGTTCGCATTCTGAGCGGCTATTGTGGACGAAGAAGGGAGGGAGGGTTGGGTGGGCGGGAGTGATGGAATTTTAGGGGTTTTGGGGAAGGGAAGGGGCTAGGATTTGGAGATAGGTAATCGGCTTGGTGGCGGGAGTAGGTATCAGGGAAGGGGGAGGTGAGTGTAAAGGAGAGAAGGGAGGGAGAAGGAGGGAAATGGGTGGGTGTGAGGGGAGGATGGGAGTAGGGAAGATAAGGGAGGGAGAAGGAGGGAGGGGGTCGGGATGGATGAAAGCCCAGAAAGAAGAAGAAGAAGAAGAAAGAAAAAATAATAATAAAAAATCCACGTGGACCCTTAATGACATGTGGCGCCCAGTCATTGTCCACATGGGCACCACGTCATCATTTAACGGGAAAATTAACAGTTTGACTAACGGATGTATGAGACTGTCCCAAAATTTACACTTAAGGTATGACTCTGGAACGAAAAAAAACTTCATATACTAAATGTTGAAAACCACGAAACATGATAGTAGTAAACAAAGATTTACCAAAAAAAAAAAAAACAAACGCACAACTAAGATTCTAAAAGGTTAGGTGATACTCGGGCGATAGTCAGCCATCTAGTACTAACCGGGCCCACAACTCCATCTGAAATCAGATTGCAACGAAATCAAAATCGATTTGCAGCGACCGAAATCAAAGACGCGTACGTCCAACAGCAGCAGAAACAACCACCTCCATCTGAGCCACGTCGAGGGCCGCCAAACCCCACCCGTAACCTCCCTGCTCCCCCATCATTGATTGTGGTGTTTTGGGTGCTGCTTCAACATGCGAAAGTAAGTTTGACGATGGTGGAGGAGATAACACTCGTGGCTGTCGCTGTTGGGGATGAGGGTGGAGGGAGGTGGCTGAGTTATTTATTTTGAAACCCAGAAAAATCAAGGACCCCTCTTGATTTGATACTCTTCCTCTCCAGATCTCTTATTTCCCAAATTTCTCCACACTCGTGCAAAAGCACAAAAGCACAAGAACTGCAAATTTGCAATCAGCCCGTATTGATTTCAATGAGCTTTCTTTGCTGTTATTCCTTCACCCCTTCTTCTTTTCATTTGTTTTATTTTGTTTTTGTTCAATTTTATTAATCTTTTCTAAAAATCTAAGAGAACTGTTTTAGCACTCTAAAAATCTCATTCTACACTCTCATAATAAATGTATTTTTCTTTTTAATTATAGAAAGTTTGAAGTATAAAATGAAAATTTTAGATTACTAATAACAATGTTCAAATCTTAAATCATTTCAAAATTGTTTTTCATTTGTTTAATCCACATGGGATAATATTATTGGATGAACTGTGTGTCACATCATCAAATAAACAGAAAATTTAACAGAATTAGAAGGTGGAGACTAATTTGATGCGCAATGATGAAATTCAACAACCACATTCATCGATTTTCGAATTGAGGGATCAAAATGATGAGTCCGGTCAATTTTAGAGACCGATAAAAACCAACTTTAATTTCATTAGTTTTAGAAAATTTATTTATCTTTTATTTTTGGTAAAATAGTTAGTCAATTTGTGGCAATAAATAATTAAAAGAGTGATCCTAGAGAGATTGTTGGGGGACTTTTAACCTGAGCTGGACTTGGGGCTTTGACGAGTACCTTTGCTTCTTGTGGTCCATTTGAATACCAAGTTCCGTGATGCCTCGAAAGAATTAGTGTGTCTTAGGAAGTATCTCACTTAGAAAGAATTACCCTTTCCTTTCCAAAGCTCTCATTCGCTAGGTCAATTTCCACCGGCGTTAATTCTAGTAACACTTCTTTTGACTTTCGTTCATCATTCTCCTACGTGAGCTAGGAAGGGAAAGTTCATCTCTCCCCTCATTAAATGCGGGCTTTGCGTTGGGTCTTCACGTGAACCCAAGGCTTTTAGTCTAATTCTTTTCTAACTGGATTGGTTGGTTTGCTAAGAAAAAGGGGAAACTAGGTTTGTTCTCTCTCAAACATACCTACGTGGAATTTAAGATTGTGGGCTACAATCTTTAGGCTCCCAAGCAGCCTAAACTCTTTGATAATCTTGACTCCTATGAGGTCCAATAAACTTCAAAAACCATGTACACCACGATTCACTTAACAAGATCTGGCACATGGTTTGAGCTTATTTTAGCGTGAATAGTGGTTAACGTGATAAAGCTTGGTGTGGTGAATGTACATGGATTTCATGGCATGGTGTGATTTTATACAAACGTTTGATCTGTGAATTATCATTATTTTAATAGCACGGTATGATTATGAATGTTTTCCTTTCTCTTGATTTCACACCTTTGCATGTGTTTAGACTTGGGTTGAGGTTTTTATGACAATTGAGTCTCGAAACTTTGATTGGGATGCATGTGACATTTTTTGGCCCCAACAAAGCCCAGTTACTTAAACTATAAAGAAATGTTAAAGGAACTCTCTCAAAAGTGGGACTCTCTAGGGACTCTCTGATATCTCATGTTTTTTATGCAATGGTTTATAATGTTGACACATGAATTTACATTAAACTATGAGGTGGCAGGTAGTTCATGAAGAGTTCTACTTTAAGAGAGTTCTCTTAATATTAACGATACTTTTTAGATCACATGATGTGACAGTTGATAATTAATTTTTTTAATGATTTATATTAATTATCTAATTATCAATCGTGACATAATATAACCTACAAAATACAATCTAAAAAGATGCCTCTTCAGCATTTTTCAATGAAACTGATACCACGTTTGAGAAAATGCTACATGTAGTTTGGAGTTGCTAGTTATTTTTATATTTATGGAGGTCGAAATTCCGCGCTTAGTATTTCTTGCATTGTACTTTGGGGATCTAAGGCTCTAAGACCATCTCCAAAAGAGATGTAAAAAATGCCACATAGACATATAACAGTAGCAAACGACATATCATTTACTCCAATCAAGATGTCAAAGATGACATGGAAAAAAATGCTAAGCTAATATGGACAAAAAAAATGTCAAATTTGAAGCTAACTTCAAATTTGATTTTTGTTATTTCCAAAGGCATTCCACTTGCCTTACCATAAATGTTAGCATATTTAAGTATTATTTTATTATTTTTAAACCAACAATAATCTAACTTTTATTATTTTTGTCTAAAAACAACATAAATAAAGCAATAAATTTTAGCATATTGGGTGGAAGGAAAATCTTGACAATATGTCAAATTGCCAAGTCAGCCATCAAATTAAAATTTGATATTTTGAATTTGACGTCTCATTTGAAGATGCTCTAAGCTACTGCCATCTATTTTTTATGTGCACGCGTACGTTAAGGTTTAAACAAAACTTGTGATTAGTAATTTATTCTCTTGCAAAACATTAAACAAATTAATTATGAGTTTTTAAAAAAAAAAAAATTTCCAGGTGAAGACAATGTTATTAAGATGAAATATAAGTACAAATGAGTCGTGAAACATGACGTTTTAAATAAGGAAAACTAATGAAAAGAATTTTAAAACTTTGAGTTTGAATGAAAATGACAAAATAAAGGGTAAAATGAATAATACTAGGATTGACTTTTAGTGTAAAAATGTGGTTTTTCGTTAAAGTGAATAGTACCGGGAGTTTTTCAGTAAAGTTCCCCTTTAAATAAAGTTAGATGGAG